ACTACAGGAAGTGAATCTTGCAGGTCTGAATGACTCAGTGTCTCAAATAAGATCCCCCTCTCTCTTTATTTTCATGAGAACTGAGTAGGGTCTTGACTGAGATACTTGGGTTACAGTTCTGCCCCAGACTCAGACTTCTTTTATCTGACCATTGTCTTGGTTGTAGCCAGTGGTGGGATTCAAATATGTGAACAACTGGTTCTCTATGCAGATGCCACTTCTGGAAGTCCATTCTGGACCAGGTCAACAAAAAATTAGCTACCGGTTCTGCCAAAGTGGTGCAAACTGGCTGAATCCCACCACTGGTTGTAGCTCTTCCTCCTGTTCTCCAGGGTTATTCTTTCTGCCCAATTCATATGTTTCTGTCAAAGTGGATTTCAGAAATGCAAATAATTTCTACTTAGATGTAACAAGCTATGTTGTAATGGGATTAGTCTGGAAGATACATTCTTCAAAAAATGGTCCCTAAAGTCAATCTTTAGAACACTAATGGCATATTATTCCAATGACATATCACTCTAAGCTCCAAAGCTACATTTGTCCCCCCATCCCCAATGTGATATTAACTGATTAAATAATAATTCTATCTAATTTGATTAGTTAATTTATTTTAATTAAATTGAAATCTTATTTAGCATACATCATGGGCCCATCTCTCTCTGAGTGGGGATCCAATCCACTATTGAAAGTCTAAGTACAGCCTGTGGCATGATAAATGCTGTTCATCCAGTGCACCCCGTAGCAAATCTAAGGCTAAGCTCCAACTGTGTTTTGGAGATCATCCTATTTACAGTATACTACTAGCTGTTGTTTTCTATAAGTAGGCTAAAAGCTATTCCTTTCAGGAAGGAAAGGTTCCTTAAATGTCACTTAATGCTGAATGCTACTTAAAAAAAAAAGATCCATACCTGGCCAATACTACATTTTCTGTAGACTAAGCAAGGTGACAAGTTAATGAATATTACTGTACTACTGAGGATAAGATTGCATATTTTTAAGCCACATAGATAGATAGATAGATAGATAGATAGATAGATAGATAGATAGATAGATAGATAGATAGATAGATAGATAGATAGATAGATAGATAGAAACAGAGAGAGAGAGAGAGAGAGAGAGACAGACAGACAGACAGACAGACACAGACAGACAGAGACAGACACAGACACAGATACAGACACAGACACAGAGACACAGAGAGACTAATAGTTTCACTGAATATATAAACTGATGCATATTGGATGAAGATAAATCATAATTTCTTATATAGATTTGTGGAGTTTGGGCTAGCAATGATTCATTAGGAAATGGGCTATGGAGGCATGACAGACTCACTAAAATATTAACCCTTGAATAGATGCTATAAATAGTTTGAATGTTAAATACATATATTGTACATCCATTATGTAATATAGAGAAAATAATATTTTACTATCACAACTTTTTAAAATAAATCTAAAGAGCAACCATACTTGGAGTATTGTTAGAGTTTGGAAAGTATACATAAGCAAACACTTAAATGACTATAAATCAGGATTAAATCCCCTTATAAGGAAACATCATAATGTTTAGCATTATTCAGCTTATCAAACAAGGGAATAAGAAGAATGGGATAAAAGCTGCATGAAAAATCCTTTGACACAATGTCAGAAGCTGTGACTAGTTAATGAATTTGATTGGAATGACATTCACAAAAAAAGAAGTGATTCCTAAATTATGAAAGTGACTATAGTCTTTGACCCTTCCTTATTTAAAAGGTGATTTGATAAATGAAAGATATGGATATGCATGAATAAAAAAGATGCCTCACCTTACCAGTTGCTGTGAAGACTTATGATCTGGTGTCCTGATTATAGGAATCCCATCAGCATTTGGTGGAATTCCAGACTAAACAGCCATTTATCTATGAAAACCCATTTTAGTTTTACCTCATTGACTCATTCAACTACATTCCAGACTCAAAATCTTACAAGATTTTGATTTCATTCTATATTTTCTGATATTGTGAACTGCATTCAAAATAGGTGTATCTACTAAAATTATTTAAATAGATAACAAATTTTCACAAAATTAAGTGGCCTGAATGACAAATGCTACCAGATGTATTGAGCATCAAGTTTTCCTTAGACCACATCCATATTACAAAAGGTAATTCACATTTTAATTGAAGATGTTACCTTTCACTCTTAGATAAAAATGTTTTGTTCTTTTTTTCTACTGTGCTACGAGTTTATTTTTATCCTGAATGAGTGGATGACAGCATAAGAATATAACAAGAAGAGTTCTTATCAAATAATCTCTAAAACAGTTTTTTAAAAGCTTAAAAGAATAGTTCTCTGCAAAGCAGCTACCCCATCAAAAAAAAAAAAACAAAAAACAAATCACCTTATGGTTTTATCTGTAACTGACTTTGAAACTGAAACAGAAGAATAGGCATTTTGGAAGAATTATTTGACATAAAATGTCAGATCGCCAAGATATTAATAAGCTGGCAAATTTTCTCACTCACAAAAAGAATTATTAAAGTGTCTTAAAAATGACTGATGTTGAATGCCAGAATTCCTTAAAATCATCATGTTATTATACACTGTGTTAAAAATATTTTTTTTTCAAAATATTTAATGCTTACATGAATAAAATGTAACACAGTTAAGATTGTGTTACAGAAGCTGGTACCAAGTTTTCAAGAGAATCTAAAAGTACTAAATTAAAGATTAAGAAGGCCTCAAAGTAGAGCTTTTCCACAATAAGATGGATATATTTTCCTTTTTTTAAAAAAAATATGATGCTGTTACAAACAAACACATAGTCACGTTACATTCTTCAACTTAATAAAAAATACAAATTAAGGATGCAGAGAATTATGAGGTTTTTTAAAATTAAAATACAAACAACATTATAAGGAGGAACTTTGATACTAGGTTTTCCCCTTCCATTCCACTCATCACTTCACAAGTATGTGGTTTGTAAAAATATTGGCTATTGCTTACATTTATTTCGTTGTTTATTTCAATCATTTCAACTTGAAAAACATTGTAGCTTCTATCTATACTATTTGTAGTTACCCTGACTAATATGCTACATTTTTCCACTCATTATATTGCTTTCCCGGTATTTATTTTTAATTATTTATTTCATTGTACATGTGTGTGTCCCGATATGTATTCCTGCTACAATATATAGTTTTGTATGTAAAGCTGCAAAGTATTGATCTGGTTACAGGATCCCAGCATTGCTATCTGCTCTGTCTGTTCAGTCTGAAATGATTTTATTTCATTTTTTAATTCAACTTAGAAGAAGGAAGGAAGGAAGGAAGGAAGGAAGGAAGGAAGGAAGGAAGGAAGGAAGTTGTCTTTCTCCAGAGCCCATAGATTAAACAGCATCATCTGATGGACCCTCTGGCACAACATATTCCCTGAAATCTGTATTGCTTGTAGCTAGCCTGCTTAAACAAGTCACTAAAACTAGGACAGGGGTCTTCAAACTTGGCCCTTTTATGACTTGTAGACTTCAACTCCCAGAATTCCTCAGCCAGTGTACCTGGCTGGGAAATTCTGGGAGTTGAAGTCCAGAAGTCATAAAAGGGCCAAGTCTGAAGACCCCTGGGCTAGGAGGTGGTCCCTTGGATGTGCGTTTGGAATGATGTTGCCTTTATTTCTATACTTGCTATGGAACTGGACAGCTGTGCCATTTTGATAATAGAAAGACAGATACATTGTCTGTCTTTGACAATAGAAGAGACAACACTTGGAGACTATAAGAACAATCTTGAATTGAATCAAGGTCAGGTGAGTTCCATGTTCATTTCTAAAGTGAATATGACTAAAACGTCTCATTCAAACCTGAAACAAGGCTGTGAGGTTGACTATTTGTATTCAGTATTGATCTTAAAGGTAGAAGGATTATCATTTGAATATAGATCAATACTGTGAATGCAAAAAGTTCCAAGTTTGAGGCATATTTACTCAAAAGGATCTCAAAGCAGCTGATGGCAATGATTTTTACCTAAAACCCAAAATAGCTGCTACATAGTCAGTTTGATATGTATCAACAGATATTTGTCAGAGGTAGAAAAAAGATATGTAGCTATTTGCTGGTATTCTTAAGTATATCTCCAGACTTTATAAAATTCTTTTTAAAGCCATTACTTTTTGGTTTTCAAGTTAGGAAAGTAAGCAACAAGCAATAACAAATTGATAGCTCTTTTGCCAATGTATAGATTTATACAAAATCATTTTTTGTTCTTCTTTGATGACAAAAGAAGGGTTATAACCCACCTTCACCATTCATATTTGTCCTGGTCTGAGAACTCTCTCCTATCAACTATTGTTTGGGATAAATATAATGACACTTCTTGAATTTTTAGTTTTACTATGAACTAGGAGCAATATTCTGGTTGCTACAACAAGAACAATTTTGTTCTAAATTATGGTGATTATGCTTTTTTTTCTTTAGTAAAATATAGTAGTCTGCAATTAAAGCAATTCCTTATATTTTGTAGTGATATTAATAGTTACTTAAAATACATTCAACATCAAATCTTTATTCTACCCCCTACCTTTTAAATTGTACACATACACTATGATGTTTGAGAGCTAATAACTATAGATATTATAGACTTAGACTTTATTGTAATATTCATTTAGCTTCCATTATACTCATTTTTAAGATTACCATAAGGTGATAAATATTTGTCAGTTGCATTCATCAGATTGAAATAGTCACAAATACAAATATACAAATACAGAATAATGCAATTAATACATCCATAACGAAGGCATAATGTATAATTCAGTATCAGTATAGTGAACCTGTGGATGCTTTGGAAATTGTTTAAAAGAAATACTTTGGATCTTGTATAAGCATGGGACTAAACCCTTCTTAATCTAAATCATTTGGAAAGCACACAAATCAAAATTCATACTGTATATCTGTTCAAGTCAAGAATTATTTATTCATTCATATGCCACATACCTTGTGCAGATACAGGATTTGTATGCTTCCTTCTGCTATAATTATATCCTTGATTTCTGCTTCTCTATACCTGCTGGCAAGGAAGAAAACAATCTTGGCAGAGTTAATCCCTTTCACCACTCCAGTACTCCTCCTTTAGACTGCATCAAGATCAGTCCCACTCAGATGATGACTTATCAGGTAAAAAGGGAAAAATAAATGGCTGGTTTTCTGGAATCAGTTGGGCTGTCACAAAGACATCATTATATGAAAAGAAAAAGAAAGATTTTGTTTTTGAAAATGGCTATATAGATATCATATTCTTACATGCAATTCTCAACTTACAACCATAACTGGGATCACAATTTCCATCATAAGTTGTTGCAATTACAAGACAGGTCTGACCCAATTTTATGACAACTTTGATGATGGCCCTTAAATCAAATCACATGTTCATCAGGTGAATCATGCAATTGTTAAACAAATTCAGCTTCCCCCAATAGGCATTTTTTTTAAACAGAACTCAGCCAAAAAAAGTTGCAAATCACAATTATATGACTGCAGGTTGCTACAACTGATTCTAAATACAAGCCAGTTGCCAAGCATTTGAACTGAACACCCCACATAACTGCTGGGTGGGGTTATAGTTGCAAGTACAGATCCTAAGTTGCTTTTTCCAAGGTTATTGTAACTTTCAACTGTCATTAAACAAATGGTTGTAACTCAAGGATTACATGTATTTCTCACTTTTAACCACACTAAAATCTTATTATTTTGCTACAGTCAATAATTTAAGTGTGGTTCTAATCCAGGGGTGTCAAACTGCCGGCTGGTGGGCTGGATGCGTCAGGCCAAAACTGCACCCACCCCATTACTGGCAAAGGAAAAAAAGTTGCGATACATCATGACACGTCACGTGAGGTTGCGAGTTTGACACTCCTGTTCTAGTCTATTTGTATGAATTAAACAGACAAAGGACTTATTTAAAGATATGATATTAATAATTATTTATACATCATGACAATCAGTTTTAGGTACAATTAAATATCATTCCTAATGTCTGAATATTCTTTTATTCCATTTAACTGTCCTATTAAAATCAGTTTGTCAGGGACCTTTTCCCAAAGTCCACTAGTCAGCTAGAACAGCTCACGTGTAATTTGAACTTCCAGGTCTTCTTTTGCTATGGACACAGGTTTAAAAAATGTATTCCAGATGTCAGTGACTTTATACTCACAGCTCCCTGAAGTGAATTATCTAAATAATTATTGAGCTGATATTGGACATGAGGATTGCCTTATCAATGACCTCTCACATGCTCTTACTTGCCAGTCTACTGATCAACATTTATAAAATTGCAAGTAACTAAACCTTTCCCCTTCCTGATTTTTTTTTATTGAAAATTTTTAGATTTTACAAAACAATACAATTCCCTTCCCTGAACCCCCCCCCCAGCCCTACCCTACCCTCCCCCTACCTTCCCAGAGCTGAATACAGGCTTAATTAATTTTTTTTCAAAAAGTCTTAAAACAGATATAAACCATAAACAAGTCTAAATACATTAATTAAACAAGTTGTAAAATAGTTAACAATAATATATGTATAAAAAGACAAAAATACAAGGAAATACAAGAAAATAGGAAGAAAGAAAAAGAAAAGAAATAAAAAGAAAAAAAGAGAAAAAAAGTCTATAAAGTCTATAAAATATCTTAAATTTTAAATATAGGTTATTGAAAAGCTAAATAGTATTTTTTTATATCCAACTTATATTATATAAAGTCTATCCATTTTTTCCATACCAAAAAATACTTCTCTTGCGATTGGTCTTTCAAGAAAGCCGAAATCTTTGCCATTTCCGCCAAATAAGAAACTATAAAAAACCACTCTTGCAAGGTAGGCAAAAATTCCTTCTTCCAACATTGCCCTACTAACAACCTTGCTGCTGTAATTAAATTTAACATCAATGTAGTCTCTTTAGTATTACAATCAGAAACAATACCTAACAAAAACAATTGTAGGGTAAATTTTACCCTTCTTCTAAAGATTCTTTGGATATTCCACCATATCTTAATCCAAAAAGCTTTTATATTTTTACATGACCACCAAATATGATAATAAGTAGCATCCAAACATCCACATCTCCAACATTTAGGCTGTAAGTCAGGATACATACGAGACATTTTTTGTGGATCAAGGTGCCATCTATAAAACATTTTGTAAAAATTTTCCCTTAAATTTTGGGCTTGTGTAAATTTAACATTCCTCACTCCCCTTCCTGATTTTTGAAAAACAAGAAGTATTTAAACTTCTTCCACTGACAAGTCTGCTAAAATCAGAATTACTTCCTTATTAATACAAGGGGGATAGAATCAAGATCACGTGAAGTATTAATACCACTCTTCAATGCCTTGGTAAGGCCACACTTGGAATACTGCATCCAGTTTTGGTCACCACGATGTAAAAAAGATGTTGAGACTCTAGAAAGAGTACAGAGAAGAGCAACAAAGATGATTAGGGGACTGGAGGCTAAAACATATAAGGAACAGTTGCGAGAATTGGGTATGTCTAGTTTAACGAAGAGAAGGACAAGGGGGGACATGATAGCAATATTCCAATATCTCAGGGGCTGCCATAAAGAAGAGGGAATTAAGCTATTTTCCAAAGCACCTGAAGGCAGGACAAGAAGCAACGGGTGGAAACTAATCAAGGAGAGAAGCAACCTAGAACTAAGGAGAAACTTCTGACAGTGAGAACAATTAATCAGTGGAACAACCTGCCTCCAGAAGCAGTAAATGCTCCAACACTGGAAGTTTTTAAGAAGAGACTGGACAGCCATTTGTCCGAAATGGTGTAGGGTTTCCTGCCCAAGCAGGGGGTTGGACTAGATGACCTCCAAGGTCCCTTCCAACTTTACTACTATTACTATTACAATAGTAGTCAATAAGTTCTATTCTATAGCTTTCTTGGAAACATCATCATCTGCAGCCAACTGTGGTGACCCCCAATGATGACCCCATGCAATGATAGCCTTATGGAAAAGCCAAGATGCATCCCAATGTCTAATGGAAGGACATAGTGTGGCATTTGTGTGATGACATCATGGGACATGTTTTGTCAGTTGCTCCCCTATGCCCCTTCTGATGATGCCCTTGCATTTGGAAGATGACAGGCTAACAACAAGAAGACTAAGTTACAAAATAACTATTAGACTTGATTCAGAGATAATCTTTTTATCTTTGCTTTTTACTGCTTACTAGAAAATCAGTACAAAATATGCACATTTATAAATATTTATAACATTTGAATACCACTGAATACAAGAGCCATGGTGGTGCAGCAGTTAGAATGCAATATTGTAGTATTTGCATTTCACTGCCTGGAGTTTGATCCTGATCAGCTCAAGGTTGACTCAGCCTTCCATCCTTCCAAAGTCAGTAAATTGAGGACCCAGATTGTTGGGGGCAATAAACCGCTTAGAGAAGGCTGTAAAGAACTATGAAGTGATATGTAAGTCTAAGTCAGGGGTGTCAAACTGCCGGCCCACGAGCCATGTGCTTCATAGCAAAACCGTGCCCACCCCATTGCTGGCAATGGCAAAAAAGTTTTAATATATCATGTAATGTTACCCCTAGTCTAAGTGCTATTGCTATTTTTTTACCTCAGTATTTCAATAAACACCACTTGAATCTCAATCTCTCTCTCTCACACTGGCTCTCTTTCCCATATGTATGTACATTGTTTCTGCTGCTTTGTCTCTTTTTCATTACGAAAGATCCACCTGCCATGCCATGCCATTTAGTCTAAACTATGCTTGGAAAGCTAGTTTGATATAGTGGTTAAGACACTAGTCTAGAAACCAGGAAACTGTGAGCTCTACTGCTTCTTAGGCACAAAACCAACTGTATGATTTTGGGCCAGTCACTTTATCTCAGCCCTGGGAAGTAGGCAAAGGCAAACCACTTCTAAAACATTTGCCAAGAAAACTGCAGAGGCTTGTTCAGACAATCACCAGGAGTCAAGTGGAAGGAAGGAAGGAAGGAAGGAAGGAAGGAAGGAAGGAAGGAAGGAAGGAAGGAAGGAAGGAAGGAAGGAAGGAAGGAAGGAAGGAAACACACCAATATAGTTAATAGTTTACTTTCAGAAAGCAATCACAATACTTGCTATTCTTAATACATTGCCTGACACATGATATTCACTAAGAACCTACAGACTCTAAATTATTAAAGTAGGCAGCTACATGGTTTGAATGGAGCAATGTCTCCCTTTAGCGTGTTAAAGCTCCAAAATTACTTTTCTTGTTTAACCTCAATCTGCAGCATGACAGATTGCAAGGAATCTGACACACCGGACTATAGGAATACATTTGTGTATGACACAAGAACAGGATATAAGCTGTTTGTTCAAAAGAAGTTAGGAAAGGGGGCATTCTTGATTCCTGGAATAACATGTGTATTAGAACATAGCTGTAATCCATTCCAGTTTTCCATTTCACCAAATTTTTTGATGAGAGAGAGAGAGAGGGAGAGAGAGAGAGAGAGACAGAGACAGAGACAGAGACAGAGACAGACAGACAGACAGACAGACAGAGACAGAGATTGTACAATACACGTACAAACCCATGACAGAGTTACACAGAAATTGAAAGACCGGCTTCACAACTGAAACATATGGTGAAACTGAAATATTCCAGATTAATATAAACTATTATTTTCCTGGCATGTGAAAGAATCCTTAGCTAAAAAGCAATAGAATAGTAACAGGACATATGGTCTTTAACTAAACATACATATAGAAAAATGTATTTCAGCACTTGATAAAATGCTACAAATAAGATAAAAGGAGATCAAAACAACAGTATAAGTAAAGATAGTTTTCTCTTTACTGAAAGGCAAAAAAATGCAATAAAACATAAAACAGATTTGCTGCATCTTACATTACAATTCAGATCCTGGATACTTCATCACTGTTTATGCTCAAGAATGGAGATTTAAATAGGATCTGGTTCTGTTTCAATAACTTAGATTGACTATGACGTGATGGGCTTTTGTTAACAAAAGAGGCAGAAAAATATCCTATTCTAGAAGCAACTAAAAATCCATCAGTCACCTGGGGTGGACTGTTTTAACGTCTATTCTATAAACCACCTAAAATTAACTAAAGAGTAATTTACCCGGTGCAATAGATTTCCCGCAGTCTGAAATCACACAAAGAAAAGAAAGAGTCTGATCTATTTTCAAGGTGAATTT